TTCAGCTCCTGAGCTCCAGCCCATGGCTCTATGAGCTTCTTCTCGGGCAAGAGCCCATCGGCACCGGAGCGGATGCAGGACCCTCTCCCACCAGCCCTTCATGCCCCTCGGGACAGCCCAGCTCAGGTGAGGGTCTCACCTGGCTTAGCAGCAGGGGCCCAACTGTATTGGTGGTGTACACCAGGGACATGTCCTCCAGCGTCTCGGTATCAAGCAAGTTCAACTTGGCGATTCCAGCGTTGTTGATGAGGAGGTTCAGCCCCGAGCCCCCCAGCTGCTCCCCGACTCTGGCTGCAGCTGCCTTGATGCTGGCAGGGTCGGTGACTTCTGCAGAGCCAGGGCAGGGGAGGTCGGTGTCCCCGTGGTGGCTCACACCCTGCACAGTGCCAGGGGGTGGGAGGCCCCTGTGTTCCCCCAGGGATGCGCCCTCGGGGTTGGCCATGGGCAGGAGGGAGGGCAGCGCCCGGTGTCCCCGCAGGCACCGGCCCGTTGGCACGGTTCCCTCCCGGTGCGGGGCTCCCAGGGTGCGCGCAGCACCCGGGCACATGCCAGGGGAACCGGGGCGAGGGACCCCCACCTCGGGGCACCTACCGAGCGGGATGATGACCAGGTTGGGGTGTCTGGAGGCCAAATTCTTTAACTCCTGCAAGAGAGGGGACCACGTGGGCATGGAGAGGCAGGAGGAGCTGTGCAGAGGCTCAGCCTTTCCCAGGCAAAGCCTGTGTCGCTCCGGCTCTGCCTCTGCACCGCTTCGCACCCAGCACCCTGCTCTGGCTGCCCTGCTCCCATCAGGTGCGGTTCCGTGCCTCCCGCACACACCACGTGCCGCTGTCCCCTCCTCACATCCCATGCCCAGCTGGTGTCACAGCCGTCCCAACCCGGCTGCCCTGTGCCGCGGGTGCCTGGCTGCAGCTCGAGCCCTTTGCAAACCCCCTCCCTGCTCCAACCTGCTGCCCTGGCAGCGAGTGCTCCCGTCCCCCAGCACAACCCACCGCGTCCCAGCCCAGCCTCACCTGCGCTCGCTCTCCCTTGGGGTCCCGACAAGCCGCAAAGACCCACTCGGGTGGGTTTGGCATCCCCAGGACCTGCCGGACAAGCCCCAGGCCGATTCCCCGGTTGGCCCCAGTCACCAGAAGGGAGCGGACCTGAAGTCCTGCCATGCTGCTCCGTCTGCCGCTGCACTGCTCTCGCCCTGACTCTGCAGGTACCTTTTGCTACTCGGTTATCTCGCATTTTCCCACGAGGGCTTGCATCAGCCTGTGGCTCTAGGAAATTCTCTGCCTGCATCCCAGTCTCTTGGCTGTGGTCCATACCCACGATCCACCTTTCCTGGCGGCCGAGGAATGACGCAAGGGGAGCCAAAGTGTCCTGCCCAGGCAGGGAATGCCCTGGGCTGGATGTCTGGAAAACTGCTCTTTGTACCTTCCCTGCTCCACCAAACCTGAGCCGCTCAGTTTTCCGGGCCAGCGTTACCCCTGTTCCCGCACCGAGATGTCCCCTCCCACCGCCGCCCTCCCTCGTGGGACACCAGGCTCTGTCCCTCCCCTCGCCCGAGGTCAGACAGGCAAGGGTGGACTCGCTGACCCTGCACAGTGCAGTTTGTTGGCCTTAATTTGTGCAACGCCAAAGCCAGGGTCAGGGACGGAGCAGCTGGGACAGACGAGCGTCCCTTGGCCACCACAACAGGCTGGAAAACCTATAAACCCTCCAGGACCGCTTGGAAACCCTCCAGAGCTGCCCCGAGCAACCCCTTCCTGAGGGTCTGCTCTAACGACAGCTATAGTATTTAAGTTGTAAGTGTGATAGAAGGATAAAATTCCGTTTTGCCCCCCGGGTATAACTGTGGCATGGCCAGGAATCGGGGCGGTGCCCAGGCGCACACACAACACACGACAGACATCCAGTCCCAGGGTGGTCCAGGTACTCCCCGGCTCGTTCCTGCAGCAGAGAGGCACCGGACCGACCGATGGACTGAACTCCCAGCTGCCTTCCAAAGAAAACCTCTGACTGGTGGATACAGGAGCTTCGGGACGGGCCCGAAGATCCCCCAGGAGCTCCTGCTGTGCCAAAAGTCAATGGAGAAGCACCACCTGCGTGTCTCCGTGTGCTGATGAACACCCTGCGGGGAGGACCTGGGCACCCCACGGCATCCCCAGGTGGTTCCTGCTGCAGCGTCGACCAAACTGTGCACAGACAGTTTGTAATAGCAGAACATATGTATAAGATAGTTAGGAGACGCTTTGTCGGTAGTTTAAGATAATTAATAACAACAGATTGGGCAGGTGGTCGTGCAGGACCGGGTGGGTGTAAGCTTGGGGAGTCTCACCTGCTCCAGCTGGAGATGCTGCTACAAGGACTTTTGTAACCTGAGAGTAACCTACCGCCCTGTTCAAGAGACCTGACCCACGTGCGCGCTACCTTATGCAAAGATCCCAATAAATTAGCTTTTTTTCTTTAAAAACAAACCCCGCTGTCTACTCTTCCGTGTAGCACTCATCAGCGTTGTGGCATTTCACCGCATTCACTCAAGCCCGCTGATGCTTTTGGCCAAAACCAAAGGAAACAATGCGAAAACAAGGTAGTGTTTCAGTGATGGCTTGTCATCACGTGTGAACAACTGAACGGGAAGCGGTAACAGAAAGTCGGCCAAACAACGGAGAAAAGCGTGTGCGTGTCCAGGGAAAGCCTGGAGGAGAGCGAGGAGCCTGGTGCGGGCTGGGGCCGGAGTTGGGGCTGCGGATGGGGCCGGGGCTGCAGATGGGGCTGGGGCTGGAGTTGGGGCTGCGGA